CGTCTTTTTGTTCTCGATTCTTAGCTACTTCTTTGAATTGTTTCCATCATTGCTGTTGCTAGCATTAATGTTACCTGATGAGGTGTATCAAGGCGACAGGGCCCACATCACTTTGGTGCACCGATCATAATTGGCCGACGAATTGAATCTGTCGGGTTTTCAAGCTCTAAGCGCCAGTATACACAAAACATTGCGAGAGAACTGCGTCGATTGAAGAGAACGCAGCATTCAAACACCTGGGTGTCTTCCAACTCCGGTTTAACTGATCCCTTTATATCAGCGATATCAAAGCATCCGATCTGTTCATCCATTTTGATCAGTAAAATATTGTATCAAAAGCACGAACAAACTTGTCAAGTCGTCGTTCGTAATCGGATAACTTATTCGACTTCCAGTCGTAATTAGCCTAACTGCCCATGCTCTACCGTAGGCGATAGAAACTGTCCACTAAGACCAGCGTACCATCTCACTCTAACAATAACGAATTGCCGTTTGAGATGCTCACTCTTGATCATTTCATTGTTTTCTTCTAGTCTCTGATCGTGGCTTATCCTGACGACAGGGAGGACGCTGCAATGCATTGTGTGCGAGTGGCATTTGAAGATGTGTCATGCGACTCTGCTATCGGCACAGCTGAACATCTCCCGACACAGCTAGACACATTTTCGCGGGACAGATATTTGCTGTCTGGATTGAAGCTGTCTTCCGATACACGACACGCATTGTTGAAGCTCGGTGAACATACATCTTCGAGCAGTGTTAAGGCTGTAGAATGCGGGAGCCACTCATCATCAGGAGACTGTCCCACAGCTCCATGTTCTTCCTCTGCCATTTGCGAGGTCGATCTGGAGCCACAGCGAACTACCGAAGCCGATCGAAAGTTCAATCGACCGGCAAGCCCAATTCCCGTCTGACAATGATCTCCACTCCATTCACAACATTCCCGCGGACCAAGCAGAGAGCCCCATGCATGCCATGGCTCGCGTATGCAATATATGGTCAGCGCATTTTGTTCTTTCACATACGGGTTCATCCTAGTATGAGAGGTTTATCTGTGATAAACAACAATGCCTTCAGCAATTGCTTTTCCCTTGTATTCTACTGCGATTTGCACTTATTTGGTTTGTTTCACGACAGCCTTGGTGTTGAGTATGCCTAGAGCCACAGACATTGCCACAAAAAAGATTTTGCACCACCTCTTGATTTCTGACTATTGATCTCACGGGTGAACTGGATGAATGGCCAGCAGGAATGTGTACCTTTCTGACTGGTTTCATGATCCAACAAAAGCTCCGGGACCTCGGTTAAATTCCGTCAAGTACCTGTAACGACAAGGTAACCCACAGTATAAAAGCAGAGCTAAAAAAACCAGCTTCTAAACGATTTCATAGTACGGCCAGCGGGAGATGTATTTTGACTAGCCACTGTTTATGAGTGTTGTTCATCTGATAAGCCCCTGCTCTACACCAGGCATTCCCAACCTTCATTCGGCCCTGACCTCCTTTTAAGTCTTTCCATTTCTCATGGCACCCCACCCGTGATCATCACAATTTCAGCAAACTACATCACCTAGTAGACGTAAAGTTGTAATTTCCAGTGGTCATATTGGTAACTTGTTGTGATGGCTAAATTTTTATTGTTGGTATCACCAGTCTTTCCCTCATAAACCTCATATTTTAACCTTTCCTTCATTGTGCGACAACATCATGCCACTTGTTTGTAATTTAACAAAATGCATCATTAATACTGGAAATTTTATTTATTTATTGTTGGTTTTCAATCCTATGGCATGTCATCCATTAGGAGGGGCAGTAACTACACGACAATATGTTTGTCGAGATATTAATGCGAACCTTGAGCTTGATGTACTTGAGCAACCTTGCTTATATCTGGCTCCAGACTTGACAGTGAGAATCGAAGAGAATCTTGTTGTGACGTTCAATCTGTTTCTACATTCTGTTGGAGAAAGCACTGCTGAATTCACATTCAACCAAGTATGTGGATGGAAACCAAGGAAATAGATTTCAGCTACTTTCCACAGTCTGGGACATTTGTTAGGGGCATCAGCCCTAATACAAAAGTACTTTTATATCGCGTGAATTTAGATCTTGCTAGTGTGCCACTTTGGAGGTCTATAAGAATTCTGATTTTAACTCCAACATTACAGGGCTGTACATTAAATGATCTAAAATCCCAATCGGGATCGCCATATCAATCAGGTCATGAAACCTGTCTCTCATTTTGTTTAGGATTTGCTGTAAATGACTGACATAAACAATCAAGTGTTCATCTTTCAGCTCCTCCGTGACTGCAGCGAGAATTGAGAACTGTGGAAATTCCCGACGTGATGTTTAGAGTACACACCTTCAGTTTTTTTTAATACAAACGATAATGGCTTCATTGCTTGAGATGAAATTACTCAACTTACCTAGAAGGGTTTTATTTAATAAGTTGAGTTTTGCAGACATCAGCCAGAGACAACACGTCTGGCGTAGCTGTTGACAGTTTTCTTTCATAATCAATCCCAGAAAGGATTGTGACGATGGTGTCCCGAAGTACAGAAATACGGCGAGGACAGTTGAACTTGGAGAGCCATCTAACTTCTGTATGCAATGGTAGAACGTAGAAATTTGCACGGTTATCTTCACACAACTGCTGGAAAAGACGATCCTGAAGTGGGTTCGTTTTGGTATTGTTAACTACTATTACAACAGTTGACAACGAAGCGTTTAAGCGCCCTCCCACTATGTGCTCTCGATGAGTCACAGTGAATATTTTTCAGATGGGCAATAAATTCTTTCTATCTTCCGACCATTGCGGCAGCACCATCTATGTTACATGCAAATATGTTCTGTATTGGAATGGAGTTTTCAGTCAGATAGCTATTGACTACCTCAAATATAGTCTGGCCCTTCTTATGAGTTTTAATTCTCTTGGCAGACAGCATCTCATTCACTAATACCTTATCACTGAAAATTCAGACATATACCACAATAAGAGCGTCGTCGTCAGGCAAAGTAGATTCAACTACTTGTAAGGAGAATTTCGTAGACTGTGGTAATGCAACTAACGTACTTTCTATGTTCTGAGCGATTTCATTTATACGCCTAGATACAGTCGAGTCACTGAGCGGAATGGCTTGAACTACTTATGGATTCATATTTATCAGGCCATACAGTATTATCGATACTTTAGGCGAGATATTTTCCCCAATAGTATGTGAACTGTAATTTCGGAAATCAACGTGCTGTTCTTATAAGACGCCGTGAGTCCATTCGCCTTTTTTGCCCTGTCAGAAAGCATTGGCTTTAAAGTTTGTTTGTTTTCGAAACTACCCCACAGTTTTCTGCAGAAATCACAGACTTTCTGTTTTCATCCTTATGAACACTTTTGAAATGATTTTTCTATTTACTTGGTCGCATACTTGCATATGAAAGTGTTTTGGCAAATTAAGCACATAGGTAGGGAGGGTTGTGAGGTGATGCGATCAGTCCAAATGACAGGTAGTCCACGTAGTATCGCCGATACTTTTGAAATTTACCACTGTAAACTGTTAATAGTAATATAATATTGCCATTGTTTTATTTTTATTACAGTCATATCATGGGAATAAAATAACATCATTTGACAAAGCCAAACACGCAGGTAGTATGGATGATTGGTGGTGCTAAATTTATTGTTGTTGTTTGACCTTGAAATTACAAGGCGTTTGACCGGCATACTTGAAACATATGTTGGTGCCTACAATGTAAAATTGCAGAAGCACTGTTAGAGGCAACCCAAAGGTGGTTTCCGAGGATGGCTCTGAAAATACCGTGGATGGCTAAAATGACAGAAGAAAACTTCTTGACAAAAGCCATTGAAGAAAACTAATGGGATTCAGGAAATGAAAATACTCACTACACACGCATGCATTACAGGAAAGTTGTAGCAAACAGTGACAACATGTAAAATGTAGAAGAGAAGAGACAAACACTGAAGAAATTGCCGGATAGTTCAAGCAGCCAGCACGGGAGTGTCAACAACGAAACTAATAACGTGTATCGACTATTGCCAAACATGGCGCCCAGCGCGTGCTGACAAAGCAATTGATTCCCAGGAGTATTAGGATACAGTTTCTTATGTAGACATTATGTTATATACTCACCAAACAAAACCGCTCGGTAATCTGAACTTTAGCTGAACTGAATGCCAAGAAAGCGTTCAAGCTCTTTCGACTCTTAGTCCGAACGAACGGAAGTTCTTCAGAGATAGTGCCTCACGCGCACAGAGTAGCCTTTCGAATTCAGAACGTTGTGGGCTAACGTAGACTAGCCGTCAGACGTGCACGCAAGCTGTGACTGATGACGAAAAACGTGTAATCTAGCCTTACTGAACTGAGACCCAACAAGAAAGAAAGATTGACCGGCATGTGAGTTGTCAAAACAGTGGTAGTGTCCTGAGGAAAACTCAGTTAGTATCAGTGTGGTTTTGTGCGGTAACTATCACCGTGTTCTGATGAGAGTTCGCTAGGTTCACTGCCGTTCGCCCAGTAGACGCATCAGTGTCCTGAATAGAGCTCAGTTGGTTCACTGTAGATAGGCATCAAAGTCCTGAGGGTGAATCGGTTGTTAGTTGCGCAGTCTAAGTCGCCGTATCGTGATTGTATGTTTGAAGTGAGTCAGGCGAAATCTGCGCAAGTTTGGCGGTCCCCTACCAGCTTCGCAACGGCAAGCCTGCTCGTAAACAGCCACTAACCGATAGTTACCGGTGGAGATTAGTGTGTGGCGAGAAACTATCAGAAAACGTTTCAAGTGAATTTTGTCACATGCGTTATCACAGCATGGCCCACCTAAAATCTTTTCTCATTCCAGGGCCCCCCAGGGTGGACATATGGCTCCCGTTGAGAATGGCTGCTCTAGATAGACGGTTATGTCTGCAGGTAATATTGACCACGGAACGTGAAAACGCTTTCAGTGAACACAGCGACGCTAAATGCGTTGATTCTACCTGACGTTCCCACGTTATTCAGCTTTGCCAGACAATAGAGGACAGTAAGTACCCACTGAATAGGAGGACTTGAACCAGTCGAATGCTACCAGATTGGCTCAACCTACTCCGCATTGGCACTGCAGTTGGGGAGAAATCAAAATGTGTTCTACTTTTCAAAATGGTCTAGATGAGCTTGTGTTTTGGTCATCGTCCCGATCCCTGATTTTGAACCTTTTTGAATGTCGTGACAAAACATTCTCGTTTCTCCGAGCTGACAAGTTACGAGTCGTTTTGGACACCACTTCTCCGTCGGCAGTGATCGACCAGTTCACACCTAGATCAAGTACTAAATATCTTGGGGTCTTCTTATCCTGGAACTTGGTCTGTTCACGTTGCCGAAATGTTTTATTAGACGGTTGTCAGTTTACGCTCTCCGACTTAAAGAACTTTCGGTACCACGTGACTTGGTGCTTAGATTTGTGACTGCATGTATACTGCCGCGTTGGCTCTACTGTTCCCCTGTAATCTTCCCTGGGTTACTCAAAAAAGACTACGCATTGATTGTATGGTCCATATTAGATGGCCACAACAGATGGACGTCACGGCACGTTCTCGGGGACACTAGCGGGGTGTGCGGTAGATAACGCGGGAAGATAGTTCACAATTCAGGACGCACGCTGCCGCGCAATCCAGTTCAGTTGACGGAACAAGTTCACCATCGCCGCACGGGTTAATAGTGTTAGAATGATGCGGATTGGACACATTTTTGTGCCAATTCCTAGTTGTCTGCCTTCGTTTTGCTACTGTTTGTTTCTTGACACTTGTTTAAACGCATAAACCCTGTGCTTTGATTGGCCGACCCACATCGTTCATAATGGATACAATCCCAGGGGTCGATTTACGCTAATGCCGTTCTCTGGAACTCAGCTGATTGGTTTTTTCTTTTGCTACTTCTCATTCGCTCGTATCATTCGTTCTTTCCTATGACGTTGGTTAGCTCCAACGTGCTTTAGTAGCTTTACTTCATAAACTATTGTACCCTATATAAGGAAGCAGTGTTCTCATTCATACAACTCGGTCCTGGCTCATCTTCGTGTTCTTCCTGCGGTCGTGAACAGTCAGCGGCGACACAACAACTATGGCGCGGACGTGGTCGCAACTTCAGCCAGACAATGGAGACCGCTAACAGGTTTGAATCTGTATAGACAAGTAACGTGAATCAGCCCCATTAATACAGTCGAAGCTGGCGCATACGACCTATAAGTTAACCAATGCTCTGTTCCTAACATACAGTTGGTCTAGCAGGTCTGGCCCTCCGTTGTTTTCCCCGGCTGGGTTCGCGGCGCATCAGACAGAAAGCAGAAGTAAAGCGCAGCATTATAACAGTCCGTAAAGCTCATTTCCAGATGCAGCGGGTTGTCTAGAGTCCTTTATGGATTTTATTGCTAACAAACACCTAGACGTTCGTACCAGTTTTCCCCCAAGATTCTAGAAGGCCCTCTTCATCCACTACATTTTGACTTACCGAAACACCATCTGTTTCTTCTACCCATTCCAAATTTAAGGTTTTATTTTCTCGTACTGCATCTTACCGCAATTCTGTTCTACCGTACCTGTCCCTCTTCCTTGTTGACCCAATCAAAACCATCAGTATGATGCGAAGTTATTTGCTCGAGTAATATGTGCTTTTTGGATATATTTTTCTTAACAGTAATTCCATATACTTCACCATTTGCAGTAACAGTGTGACACTAAAAATTCACCTACCCAGGTGCATAAAGCCTACTTTGACTTGACCTGTTCATGTAGTTACGACCTAGGTGCGACAGAAGCCTTCAAATGGACTCAATGTAGGTTTTAATTGCTGCAGCGACGGTTAAACTGATTACACTGTTCCATGCGTGCTGCGTTTTTGAGCAAGTGATTATCGTCGGCAATCGAGCACACATTCCGCACAAGCGGCTTAACCAAGGATATCATGAGCACTTTCGAAAGAGAAGATCAGTTGGTATCGAGTGGGTCTGTATGGTAGAATTTTGCCTACAATTAGAAAAATATGGAGATGTGCGTACTCAGTGACTTGTTGATTGCACGTTAACATCGCACTATAGGCAAAAGCAGATGCCTACGTGTGTGTGCCATCCACGGCTTCGTTTTTGTTGACTTAGAAAACTGAGCAAGGCGCAGTCCCGCGATTGGCAAGCTGCCAACTTTGTTTCATAAAGAGTGGTAAGGTCCGAGAGAACCTTAATTTCTTATATCATAGCGATTATTCCTCTTGATGACTCAGTGCCCATATTCTCACCTTTCCAAACTAGCAACAATGCTTTTGCGCCTTGGACCGTTACATTCTCAAACGAGTATCGTTATTCATTCGCATGCACCTCATATCTCAAGAGCGCATCCTCGTTAGTCTGCCATTAAAATTACTGTCACAATTATATGTTTCCGCCCGCTGCCTGTTCGTTGCAAACCTAATTGTGAGTCCTGTCTCGTGTATTATTATATCCTTTAGAACTACGGTTACAGGACTATATTACAAAATTTTCTGCCCCAACCGTGCGTACAGTATGGATTTGTAACCCGAAGTAGCACTAGTTAGATATGTTTTGTGCAACATGACTAGATTCAGCGTAGTTCCGTCGTTAAGCAGACTGCCTTTGTGTTGTTCAATTCGTTTAAGAAACGATGATCCGAGCACTGAAGTGCAGTCGATTTAGCTGCCACGGATGGTTTCCCCATCAACATCGGAGTCGTAAATAAAGTGAAACGAAAACAGGGTTGAGGTAATAGACTTGGAGTGCGCACAGCGATATACAAAAGTTTGAATAGAAAAGCGCCGTTGACTGCAAGACTAAGATATGTCAGAAAAACAACCATTGATGTGGATAAGGCAATAGCTCTTGAGGATGGCATATACCAACCTAAACAACCCTCTCGGTCAATTTTATGTTTCTGCCACCCTATAGGCTTACCATTGCATAGCTCCATCCAACTAGGCGCAACAATGCGTGATGAAACAAGCCGCTAACCGGCAAGCAAGGTGCATGATTTTGATTCTGTGCAGCTTCTCACCAATTTTGCCACCGTATCCACATCATAATCGCAGTTAGAAGGAAGTTAAAATCAACTTTATGTACAGAGAGTGGCCATAACAACCAATTCTGATCAAATAGAGCAGAGGAGAGATTCATCGGAAGTACAGAGGGTTGTACGTAACCCAGTGGGGTTTTGGCTGTCTTTTGGCCTGTTCAGAAGTGGTAAACAGACTTTTGTAAACCGAAGAGGAGTTCGGGTCTTCTTGTATCGACTTATTCGGCTTTGTGTGATCAGATGAGGTTTCATGTTGTGGTTCCTCGGTCACCTCGTCGGTTTCATCATGTTTTTCGTCTGTATTCGTGTTCGGTTTATTGGTGGGCTTCTGTTTCGCTTCGCTTGGGCCTGTGTCCACCACTGAGTCAGCAGAACGCCTTTTCGCCTTCGTAGTTAAGAAGGGGAGGGGGTGACAGAGAACACAATTAATGCAACGCCGAGTGAATGTTTATGGAAAATAGTCCATTCTATACCGCTTCACTTGTTCAATAATAGGGTCCGTACTAGCAGCGAAAACCATTCATACGTGACAACTCTGACTCACCTTTGAGCTGGACGCAACATATTGTGCCAACCTTTGTTTCGCCGCGGCAATTTCGCTTTCTGTCTGAGGATTCAGCAGGATGATATCGTCCTCTGTAAATGACGTCCCGCACTAGAAGAAAAAAGTGATTTCCAAATGAAACGCAACCAATAAACACCGTCAAGTCGCCCATTACCACTACCTTTAATTTCCTGATAATCACAAGCACCAATGGAATAATGTGGAAGTAAGTAACCGGCCATAATCTCAAAACGCCTAAGAATAAAACCCGATTAACGCACTTGCATACACCGGTAATCGTTGACCACATCGAGAGCCTTCTTGGCGAAGACACAGCCACAAGTCCATAAGTAGACGAAGGGATAAACGCCGGACATCTCTAGTCCAGTAACTGGACAGTAAAACTCCCCAGTCGCATCGTTCAGAGGATCAGACTCTTGTGTGTGTGAGTTGTTCACAGTCAAACGTAGTTCACGGACATCCTTCAGTCTCCTAATGTGTTCTGCTACATCATTGGTGTTCGATCGGCTGAGCAGCTTGTTAATCACTGACTCCTTGTTGTACAGCCTAAAACAAAGGTGACAACACTCTGAACAATTACCTTCCGAGTTGACAAGAGACTATCGGGATACGAAGTCGGTCTTGGCTCAAAGTGCAGTGACGCCATAGCGCCGCGTTAGCCGCTCTCCGGTTCGCTCGCTCAGGTTTCTTTTTTGCCTTTACAAGCTCCACGCGTCGAGGGATGCTACCTCCATCTCCACCCATTGTGAAAGTTGACGTATTACGATAAGATGTATTTGATTTTCAAGAGACGATGCGATAAATATCGTGTCTTGTGTTCTGAAAGTAAGAAATGCTAATTAAACAAGTGCGATGATGCAACGCTCTCACCAATTGACTGGTGGTTAATGCGATGAAGGAAAACATTCATGTAAAGTTTACATCTTGTTATACGAGGTCACTAACAGCGAAGCCAAGCACACTTGTTTCCTGACGAGGTACGGTGGTCTGTAGAAAAGTTGGACCATGTATTTCAAGCTGAAATGAAGTGAATCGTGAAAGGTGCTGCTGAACGTAGTACCACAAAACAGGATCTGCGAGCAGGCATTAGGAGAACAAGTTTGTACTTCGGACCATATGATAAACTCATCAACTGCCATTCAATAATGGCTTCAGCCACTCATTCGGAGGGAAGATGGTCCATCACAGTAACATCGAGACTTTACTCAGCCTCACTAGACTCGAGCCGGAATAATCCAAAGCCGCAGGTGTTGTCAGATCGATTTTCGGTGATCTCAGGGGAAGAGTAAAACACAAATAGTCTCCAGTTCCCACTGAATGCACTGTGCGATACATGCGGTATGCATCACAGTATCCGATACAGCATGACTGTTGGGTCAAAACAAAATCGTCCACTTGTTGGCGTTGAAATCCATGCCAAACGTGGAGGTCACCAATACGCCAGAAATGACGACGAGATTGACCTCTGATTATGAAATCATAAGGTCGAGTGAGTAATAAGGAGGCGGGTCATTTGGTGCTTCGCAGCAGATACTCCAGTCTCATGAAGTGCCTTATGAACTCAAATCGCCTCTAGTGGCTCAACGATGTGCTCTACGTGCCAGCGAGCCGATTGTCTTGACGTGTATTGTTTGTCAGCACGGTGCCTAATTGGTCGAAACTTAGAAGTGTCCAGACGGTGACATAGCAGACGAGCATGAAAAAACCGAAAGGTGGAGTCCGGTAGATTTTGGCCCTCTTCCAAGACGAGATTTCTGTGATCGACCACATGAGTACATATGCATTACACACCTTAGACGTGAAAAATGCCACAGCCATTGTGCCGCAATACAGAAGAAAAAAAGACATACAACAAGTGCACGTCAGCTGATCTACCAGTAACAGATGGGCATCGTTCTGGAAGGCTACCAGCCAGTTACTATGCAGCAAAAAATATTTATTATGCAAAATTTGTCATGCTAAGAAGTGGGATCGCAGTTGGGAGAGGAGGCTAAAAGGAAGGGACAGACAAACTCACAACATGAATGCCACTGAGGTCGGCTCCTAGCCATGTCAGCAAGGGTATCCATCCAAACGTGTTCAGGGTCTTAAGGACCCCAACCAGGGAGCCGAGACGCTCCAGCCGCAGCCAACGTCGAAGTAATGGCCTTCATTGCTCTCGACCAAGTCATCGCTTGGCCACCCCTCCTCTTCTTCCATCCATACCCCCGGCGCGCAAACAACGCACATCGCGAGAGTCGATGGGCGGGCATGCGCAACACGTGGCCTGACCATGAAACCTGGTGCGTGAAAAAATGGTGCTGAGCGGTTCATTTCCACTTCCTGTGCCATAAACAAGGAGCCAAACACGCTGGTTACTCATGTGATGTTCCCACCAGACGTGAGCCAAACTGTGAAGGCACCGGTGGTCGAACGTAGGCTCCTTATGTCTGTTGATCTAATGGGCCAGATTTCACAGTCGTACAGCAGGGTCGAACGTACGGCTGCATTGCACACCCTACACTTCAGAGACAGAGTGATGTCGCGCTAGCGCCGTAGGTGGTGAAGGTTAACAAAAGCGCCTCGAGTACTTGCTATACGGTTCGTGATCTCGTCTTCGATCCCAAGGGCACGGATACAACTTCCTACGTAGATGAATATTTGAACGACTTCCAGTTGATCCCAATAAGTGTCAGCGCATTAAACAGTCCCTGCCAATCTTAGAGGACAGTTTTCACTTCAAGGGTGCAAAGCATAGCCCGAAACGGCTGACAGCCAGTGCTAATCTGTCCAGTGCCGCTTGGCGCGTTTGGGAGCTGTCACAGATTAGGGCGATATCGTCAGCACATTTCAAGTTAAGAAGTCGTTCGCCTGAGAGCAGCTCCACACCCTCTAAGTCGTGCCTTGTGAATGCAATCTCTATGATTTCGTCAATGGCGAAGCTGAATAGGAAAGGTGACAGCGGGCATCTTTGTCTCACATCACTGGAGATTTTAAAGGGCGGCGACAGCTTGCCGTAAGCCCTCACTCCGCCAGAGCTACGCATGTATGACGCTCGGATAATATTTACATATTTCTCAGATACTCCTTTCCTGAGTAGACAGTCCCAAAGGGCACATTGATCAACCAAATCGAAGGAAGCTTTGAGATCGAGGAACACGACTACAGTGGGCCAGCAATGGTGATGGTGCTCCAACAAGTGATGCAAAGTGAAGATGTGGTCGATGCACCCTCGACCTCGACGAAAGCCGGCCTGCACTTCACGAATCTGGCTTTTACGAGTGCCAGTCAGTTTGTGAAGGATGACAGGGACAACCAATTTGGAGGCGATGGAAATCAGACTGATTCCTCTACGGCTGCCGCATTCCGATCGTGAGCCTCCCTTAAAATTTGAGACTATATCATAGTGGCTCCAGTCGGTTGGGACAGTTTCCTGCTCCCACAGTTTCGTTAGTAACTCGTGTAAGTCATCCACAAGAGCAGGGCCCCCGAATTTGAAGAAGGCTGGAGGAAGATCATTTGGCCGCACAGCTTTATTCAACTTCAGCAATCCGATCTTAAATTCGACTTCTGGGCAAGAGGGCGGATCCAGAGACAGCCCAGTGAGCAGGGCTATCAGTGGCCGAGGAGAAATCGGACAATTCAGATCGATTAAATTGCCTTTCAAAGTGCTTAGCCGAACGCTCCAAACGTTTTGACAAGTTGCAGATAGGCTGTACACTCATCACGGATAGTTTCGCTAACACCAGGTCTCCTGCTGCCCGTTTCCCGTATCAGACGGAATAACTTTCGATGGTTACCAAGGGCAGTGTCCACTTCTATCTCTGACACGGTATTTCTTCAGGCTAGCACGGAGTTTTGCCCAGAGGTTTTTGCGAGTCTCATTGTGTTCGCTTCCAGCCGGAATGTGCCGGAGAGCATCGATAAGTTCCAGAGACCGAGAAGAGACCCAATATCCATGTTGGCTATTAGACATACAACATGAGGATTTCACTGCTGCTAGTAAGGTCTGGTGAACATGCGACCAGTGACCAATTGTATTCACTGAGTGTTTACTCAACCCGCAAGTCAGCGTACCTCCATACGCATTCAGAACACCTGGCTTCAACAGTTGGCTGGTGTCAGTCCGCTCACAGGGTCATCGTGGGCGTCTACCAAAATGCACCCGCGGATCAGCACATACAAGTGCATGGTAAGTGTTCACAGATGTGCTTCAAATCGAGCGATAGTTCTGGACGCAGCCTCTCCAGCGGAAACTGATCGCAATGTGATCAATTTGCGTCTAAAGCTGATGGGCGCCATGTCAACCTCCGGCGGGTGCTGTGTCGGAAGTTAGTGCTCGCAAGAAATAAGCGGGTATCTCCACACAAATGAAGTAACCGCTCACCGGTATCATTTCGGGAGCTTACACTATGCTGGCCGCCTAGATGCAGTTCATCAGCGGACAATTTTCCAACTTAAGCGTTCAGATCCCCAGCCAGCACTAGTGTCCACATCGATGATTAGAAATCTTGTCGGATATGACGCTGTCCCGTAGTCAGTGGCCATCTTGTACTCGTTCTCACAATTAAAACTCTCGAACATTCCATTTATCGATTTAAGCGCGTCCATTCATCACATTATTATCAATTTTTATTATTAGAACTATTACCAACATTATTGTTGCTATCGCTACATATGTCAGTGCAGCTGGGTCCAGTGCACCTAAGTATATGGATCAAAGCTGATAGACTGAACCCACTAACTGCATTTTACTTGGAAGCGAACTTTTAAACATGCAGCGGTGCATTTTTCATTTGGGATACAATCACGCCGTCTACCGGAAAACTGCTGATCATGGTACAGGTGGATTGCGTACGATTCAATATGATTTAGTAGTGTGCGTACCGCGAAGTCTGAAGAATGACAATCACATAGCACTGAGGGAAACTGAATTACTCGATCAGTAGCACTAAAACAGGGGCTAACAGACTGAGCCCTAGTTGTACAGTTGGGCGGCCTCGGTGAGCTTATTATCCGGGAATCAGATAAAAACAAAAGTAAAAAAGGAAAGTATATAATGGTGATTGAAAGCTGAGCTGAAGGGAATCGCCTACCCCGTGCGGTCGATCAGGCAATCGATCGAGCGGACGAATGCGTTTTCAAACACCCGGCTAATTGGACTTTTGCCTCAGAGTTGAGAGGGCAGTGTTTTTCGGCGGCATTATCTGGCTACGTTGGCAGAGTTTTTGTTAACACGTTTTTCGTGGTCAAGACTGTTGGAATTTTGATTTTCCTTCGGCTGGGCTAGAATTTTTGCGGAGAAATTTCTGGGTGGTTAATTCGGAATAGCGAAAAAAGTGAAGATCTAACACTTATGGTGTCAGTTGAACAAAGCCAACTGTCCAACAAAAGCATAAAGAAAGCAAGTAGTGCGTCTTTGTAGGTGATCACCTAACCTTTTGACTATCAACTGCACGAATATGGTTGGGGACTTGTCGAGGCTTTTAAGGGAGTGGATTCCGAAAGTTCATCTAGCGACACCAGAAGGACCGGATTCATTCAGTTCAGTTAAACCACTATGAGGTGGGAACCCAGGTGCGGTGGATCCAGTTGCGACGACTGGAGTCACCAGGATAACAACAGACATTAATAGTGAAAAATATCGAATATAATACAAAGAAAGATGAGTTAATAAATTAAAATTAATCGGGGTGGAATATTAACAGCTAGATCCAAGAAACCGAATGCAGGAACCCAACTGACTACAACCGTTTCAAGTTCTCCAGAATATTCAACAACTGGTGTGGACCAACCAGAGGCCCCACCCACGGAGATGACACACACCAGCATGACCAAGTC